ATAAACAAATGGAAATATAAATTTGATGATAGAAAGATTTCAACTTCGTAAAAACTTATTTTAATGATCCAATCATTTATATACATGTTTTTCTGTTTACTTTGGTTATGTTCGCATTTATATTACTTCCGTTGACCTTCTTATTCGTTTTGATAGGTCGCCCATTCAATTATATATTCCTTTTATGATCGTGTCACTTTTCTCTTTCATTCGTCGGAGTAATCGATTCTTTTTTCGTAGCTTTTTCATTGTCATCCATGCATAGTTTGATATGTTTGCTGGCAATTTATATTGCATCTTTTTATTTTTCTTGTATAAGTCAGTTAAGATTTCATATAGTTGGTAGATCAATAATCCAAATGAATGGTTGAATACAAGTGAGTCTTGAAATCTTTTAGTCTGACATAGCTAATGCGGATACATGTGAAATTACCGATAATGTTAGTTTTTAGATTTTCTTGTCACGTCAGCAGAGATGAGAAAGAAGCAAATAGCTATAGTTGAATATCATTACTAGCGGTAGATTGTTCTTCGATCGACACGACTTGACTTTTCTATTACTTATCAAAGAATAATATCTAAGTTATTATTCAAAATTTATTGTATTCAACTAATATCCTTATTAACAAGGTACGTTATTCTTGAAGATGTTAAAATAATTTCATTAAATTTGTTTTTTTACTCTTTTACATTATATTTTTATTTTAGCCATGTAAAAAAAAAAATCGACATCTAAATCTATTTTAGCATTAGACTCCACAATAGTAAAAATGAATCACAATACATGTGCCACTGATATTTTTCTCATCCTAATAAAAAAAAAGACGAGCAAAAGATAAATTTGATAAAAATATTTTAGCATATTTTCTTACAATTGAGTATAATCAATTTTAAATGTTATCAATGTACTTTTTCTAGATCTGTTCAACTTTGTATATTCGAAAAAAAAAACTCAAAATAGCCCGAAAACTATGAAACAATCTTTATATTCTTTACTTTTATAGAACATGCAGTATTTCGATGAGCCTATTATAGGTAGAATAATTTTTACCATATATTACTAAATGATCGGGTTTTGAATTGAGTGTATACCTAGAGAGAGTAATCTTATGTCATAGATCTAGCTTGCTTGAAATCTTGTTATATGACTTTATTAGTTTAATTTTAATCTATAGGAACCTATTTTAAATTTGATATATATTTTTACAAATTAAAATCAAACTAATAAATCATTTGTTACAAAATGATAACAAAATTGACTTTTTATGAGATATATTGCAAGCAACAGAGATCTATGAAATTATAATTGTTTCTTCTAGGGATACGCTCAACACGTTTTTTGTATTGTTTATCTGATGAGATATCATTTACAATTTTTTGTGAAAATTCAGTCAATTAGAACACCAATGAATGTCCATTTTCTTAGTTTCATGAAAATGATTTTTAAGAATGATGATCATTTTACTGCCAAATTAAATTATCCATTTTATCGTTAAAACTGACGTTAATTTAAAAAACTCAATTGCTTTTATGAGCATTCACTGTTATAAGATAAGCAGTAAAACTACGTCGAAACTGATTCTTTCAGCAAATAATTTTGAATATAATCCACCATTTAACAGATTGAATTAAGACTGAGAGATCTATGCCGAATACTTAAATAAATTATTTGACATGCAAGAAAGAAAAAATCTCTCTGTTTTTTGTTTTAGACAATCATTTTTTTTTCTTGTATACATAAACAATGAGTGACGATCTAACAGCAGCTGTAGTACCTGATATTTCAAATAAACATAAAAATACATTAGCTGATGAAACTGGTGATTCATCAGAATCAATTGAACAACCTCCATTAAAAAAAAGTATATCAAATGTACCAATAACACTTAATATACGTTATAAAACACAAACATTTTCTGTTCAATGTGATTTATATGATACATTAAAAGATCTCAAAGATAAACTTGATAAATTAACAAATATTGATCCTCAAGTACAAAAATTAATTAATAAATCAATAACAAGTGCTAAACATAATGATGCAACAACAACATTAAAAGATTTAAATATAAATGATGGTCAAACATTATTATTAATTGGTGCAACACGTACAGAAATTTTTTCAGCTTCGGAATTAAAAAATAATGCAAGTGGAAATAAGAATTCTATGGAAGATTATACACTAGGAACAAATAAAAAAGAACCTCTATGTAAACAAACAAAACATGAAAAAGTAATCAAAATTGGTAAGTAGAGAGAAACAAGATCTATCATTGCATATTTAAATGAAGATTTAAAAAAACAAAAATAAATTTCAAAACATTGACGAGAGAAAGTTTCCAAGTATGACTCATCAATCGAACTGATACTATAAGGATTCGTACTCACGTGGTGACCTTCCCAAGTTATTAGAACTTTAGTGAATTTTGTATCTTTGAGAAAACAAATGGTAAAAACAAATGGAATTACGAAATTTTACCCATAGGTAAGCCTCGTGTACTTTAAAATGTCCTCAAAATTTCAACATTAAAAGAATAGGTTGTTCTTGTGATATCAAATCTTGAAAACATTGGACTTTCTTACCTTTCCTTGTGACATATGATTGTTTTTTTTTTACGAAACTTCAATATCTTAAGAAGAACACATGTCTTTAGACTAAAATCTTCAGAGTATTTTAAAGTCCACGAGATCTACTTATGGGCAAAATTTCGTAGTTTGATTTTTTCACCAATTTCTTGCTAAAGATAAGAATTTCAGTAAAGCTGCAATATCTTGGGAAGTATAATGCATGAAGACGAACTCTCGTATGTTTCTACTAATTTCGCTAAGGTCTACTTATAGATAAAATATCAGTTCGATTGGCGAGTCACACTTAGGAATTTTCGACCTTGCCTAGCTATGAAATAAACTTCAATATATTAGTTATGACTAGACTCCAGATCACTTGTCCGATAATATAGTTTACTAAACTTAGTACTTCAGTCGATTCTAAATGATGTTTTTCGGAAGCAGTAAATATATTATTTGTTATTGTTAATAATGATCTTAAGTAAATAAGAAGAAATCAATCCTTCGTTAAAAACTACAGTGCAATGATTAATCTTCTTTTTTGCTTCTTTAATCATTTGTCGTTACTATTGCTTCAACTGACGCAAATAAACAAAATTCTATAAAAAGTTATGACATTCTGTAGTGCTTAGCAACGTAGGTTTTAAATAAAACATAGTGCTCAGCAAGATGGCGTTGTCTATCTATCGTGAGTACATACTTATTCTTGATATTGTAGATTTCTAAGTAGTTTGTTCATTAATCTAACCACTGATGTTTCCTACTGAAATATTTCAGCTACGAAATTCATCTAGTACTTTTTGGTCTATTGACACACAATGCCATCTCTCGAAATGCAAACTTCTGAACAAAACGCTAGAATTATGGTGTGATCTATAATTATATTGCTGAACACTATGTCATTTTGCTGAATGAAAACCTTAGAACTATGATTGTGTGCTATTGATAAGTATTTTTTAATGAAAATGCAAATTGCTAAGTACTCTGGAATAAAATCAAGTATTCATAGAATTAAGGTTTTTTTATGAGAATTAATGAGAGAAATTTGGATCTGATTCGAATCGAAATTCTCATCTTCCATAAAATGAATCGTGTCAAGGTAATATATGAAGGTTATTTTTAGGTCAATTTTCAATGTATATCAAAATTTATTCACTATAACAGTGTAATATCTTTCTTTCTATAATCCAGCTTACTTCTTTTAGCTGATTTCTCATTACACCAACTAGTGCTGCTTCTTTTTTTCTTTTCTACCTTTTGTTAGTTTTTAATTTAGAATTAATCCTTATTTTGTTTGCAAAAATTATCTATAAAATTCTTTGATTTTTGTCTTCCATTTTATTTAGGTAAACCAGAGAATGCTCAAATTGGTATTACAAATAGACATGATCCATTACCACCATCGATTGATGGTTTATATATGTCAATGTTAAATCAAACAGCTAAAAAAGCACGATTAACATTTAAACTTGAAATGGATGAATTATGGATTAATACAGGTAAAAATAAGAAAATTATTTTCATATTAATTTAATTTATTTTATTTTAAGCGGAAACAACAAAAAGAATACCTATGTCACAGATTCGTAATATTATTGATGAATCAATTGAAGGTCATGAAGGTTATTCAATAGTTGGTTTTCAAACGGGTACAACGTAAGTGTTGCCTTTTCTAAATATCTGAGTTTTCATTTTTCCCTTTTTTTTGGTTTTCTAAAGTGAAAATTCTATCATATGGATTTATTGGTGTCCATCACAATATGTTAAATCAATTCGTCGAGAAGTTCTCTCGGATAATTAAAACGAGAAAAACAAAAACAGAAACATATAGTTTTGTTTTCTCACAATGTTATTAGATCTTTTTTTTTTAATTTAATTTTATTAAATGTTGACGCAGGTTTTTAAACAAGATAATAATTAAATATATATATATATATACATATATTTCAAAGATAAAAATCCTTTTTCTAGAATAAATGATGGTCCACCAAGCTCAACAAATACAATCACATTTATTATTAACTGATTCACAAATAAATTCCATAGCTGGTGCTACATCAGGCATATTGGTTAGCGTTCTTGTGAGTCCACTTGATGTTGTTAAAACACATATTCAAGTAAAACGTTTACCAAAAGGTGTAGCTAATACACCCATACTAGTTTTCATGTATAGATTAGGTCAACAAGAAGGTTTTCGAGCATTTTATAAAGGATTAGGGGCAACAATGTTGGTAAGACAGATAGTTTTTTATATGAATAATATATCATATTGAACAAATTTTTAGGGCTATGTACCTAATTGGGCAGTATATTTTACTACTTATCAATGGTTGAAAAAACAATTTTCTTATTTAACATTAATACCATATGGACATGATATGTTAATAAATTTACTTGCATCAATTATTGCTGGTGCAGCAGCTAATACAGTCATTGCACCAATGTGGACCATTCGTACACGTATGATGACACAATTAAATCATGAAAATTATCGAAATTCTTTTCATGCTGCTCAAAAAATTTATCAAACTGAAGGACTTTATGCTTTATATCGAGGTCTTATACCATCTATGTTGGGTTTGGTATGTAAGAATTCTTCATTAAAATCATTATTTCGACACATATCTAGAAGTGATACAAGAGAAATATAGGTGACTATAAAGTTTTAGAATGTACCGTTGACATGCCAATAGATCGCACTACTTTCACTGCAATCACATAGAACGCAGAGAAGGTGGCGCCATCTGTTAACATATCGACGATACGCAATTAGAGAACTGCGAGTTGGAGTCCAATGTTTTATGTTTTATCGAACTCGAGCTCACCTTTTTGTGGACCCACAGCTCCCTATACACAGTAGAATTTGATAATGCACACATTATTTTAGATAGAGCAAGTCGTTCTCTACAATCCTGCATTGTCCTGTTGTGTAATCAAACCCTTATAGTCACCTTTATCGTCCTCCTCCCATATCGCACTATCACTGGTATACCATGGTATTCATGAGAACCGACGATAGCGCTTATGACTTTTAGTTCGAAGTATAGATCATGGCAGAATGTTTTCTACCGAAATTCAAATTATTTATTCGAAAGAATTTAAATTAATCGAAAAGAAAAAAGGGTTCCGAAATTTCGCTAATTTTATTGTGGGTTAGATGTGGATTAAAAGAAGTTCCTATCGACTATGGATTCTAACAGTATTAGTTTCAGCCTTCATATGTAATTCTATATTAATATTCTGTCGTGACAACTTGTACAAGCTCATTCTACTTTTGCAAACAACCTCCTTGGAATTTCTCTAACTGACGAAAGTCTTATTGTCGAAATTTCAGCCATCCAACACAATAGTTTCAGAATATATTTTATTAATAAAAATCTTTATAGCACCATCTACAATAAAAATTGATCTCATAACTAGGACTAATTTGAGCTATGTTACTAGTACAGATGACTCAGATACATCAACATTATTAGAGTGCATCAAAATCGATTCAATTCTGTAAGTTTTAATAGATTTCAAAAATATCAACTCATTTTGATACAATACACTGTGATACAAATACTTGCAAAAAGAAATCGCTGGTATAGCACATATCATACCAATCAATATACCAACAGTAGTCACCACATGCGATGTGATTTGACTTATTAGACTAAAAAATATTTTACCTTTTAACAAAATTGATCTTTCTAATAGCACCTAAATCAACACATTATAGTTTCTATGAAACTAAAATTTAAATTAAATTCTATTGAATATCAATAAACATGATAGATTCATATAAGATTACTGCTTCTATATGTGTCTTATGTTACTGGAGTGGATGTCCTTTTATTAATTTAAATAATATGATGAGTTAAAATTTTTTTTTTGTCTCTTTGTAATTGAACCTAACACGAAAAGTTATCTGTTTGTTAGTTTATTTATTTTTTTTGTTTCGTAGATTCATGTTGGTATTCAATTTCCGTTATATGAATATTTTAAGAAAAAATTAGCCACTAATTCATCTTCTGATCAACGTTTATCGATAAAACAACTTATGTTTGCATCGAGTATTTCGAAATTAATTGCTTCTTGTGCGGCATATCCACATGAAATTGTTCGTAGTCGTCTTCAAAATGCTGGACATGCTCGACATATACAATTAACATCTTCATCTCTAACGGTACCATTCCATGAATATAAAAATGTACGTGATGCTGTACAATCCATTGCTAAAGAGGAAGGTCTACGAGGATTTTATCGTGGTTTTTTACCTAATCTAATAAGAACAATCCCATCAGCAGTATTAACTTTGTTATCATATGAAAAAATGAGAGAATTTCTTGCTGATAATTTTGGTGAAAATTCTATAGAATTATAAATTCCATTTTTATTCCATCTAGTACAAATTATATTTTTTTATAAAATATTTATCGATATTGTCTTTCTCTATTAACTTTGACATGAATATCAAAAGTAATTTTCTCTAAAACAAATAATAAATAAAATGTGAACAGTGATAATAAAAGAAATTCATGTTCTTCTTTTCTTAATTGCAAAAATATGTAATATTCATCTATCAAGATATCAAAATGATCATGTAAATAGCTGATCAATATTAATCTTTATGCATTTTGACCAAACATTGTTTTTAAGAATCAGAATATTT